AATGTCTATTAGACCTGATAAAGTGAATTGGGATGAGATGCTTCCCAAAGTAGCTAGTGCCTACAGCAACAACGTACACCTAACTACTTCAGGGCTCCTAACGAGCTGCATAATTCCTTTAGACCACGTAGGCCGTTCGAAGGACTTAATCGGGACCAGATTCAGATGTTACCGTCGGGTACAAGAGAGTTTGCTCTGTAGCATGAGAAGGAAGTTCAGAGGGTGATCGAAAATCTTAGAAAAGCCCAACATCGCATGATTGAACAAGCGAATAAGCATCGCAGACCCTCACAATTCAGAGTAGGCGACTTAGTCTGGGTCAAGCTTTTGCCTGCGTATAGAGGGTCGTGGCCTGTCGAAGAAGTCAAAGGTGGACAGGATGGACCATCATATACGATAGAGATTCCACCTCACTTCCATACGTATCCGGCCTTCCATGCATCAAAGTTGTTACCTTGTTTTTCCCAGTCAACAGTTTCCTTCGCGGAGATCGATGATTCCGCGAGATATGGATGGCACCTATGACATAGACCGAATACTAGAAGAAGATGTATTCCGCAACAGAGGCAGAGGTCGTCCCCAAAAGCAGTACAAAGTCCGGTTTGCTTACCAGGAACTTGAGGACGACAAATGGTTCACAAGGACCGAGCTTCTAGAAATCGCTCCCGACATAGTGCATGCTTACGAAAGAGAAAGAAAAGGTAAAGGTCCTGACTTGAATTAAAGAGTTCTCGGAGGACCTTGAATTTAGGACAGCGGGAGTGAGTTTCACCCAGTTCGCGCTACAATTGCAGATATCAGAACTCAATTCCTAGACCTCCCCTAGCCCACTGTACAATTGTCCGTTGACCCTGTGTGTTTTCAACCTGTGACCTATCCCCAAAACTGTGTATCAATGTCTTGCGTGCATGAGTTGGGTCATCTGGGGTTAGATCCGTAGGTCAGTCATTTAAGAGTCCTAGGGTTTTCCGTAAGTTTCCGGAAAAGGCAAGTTTATAGTTGACCTTTCCAGAGGTCAACTGGCCCTACGTCCTCTGAAGAGTCAACTTGACCTTTGGGAGTCAGTAGGAGGCAGACCATTGGTTTCCGAAAGGTCAAGAGTCCCCAGTCAGCCCCGAAGAGGCACAGGTATAGGCAGTCCCAGTCCAGCAGCAAGTACCAGAATGGAACTGCATGTCCAAGGGCCTGGGACTGGGCAGGCCAGACCACCAAACGAAACAGTATAAATAAAGAGTCAGCGCCAAGCCAGTCATTCATTCGCCTGCGAGCTACGTGGAAGCGTTGCTTGAGTAAGTTGTGCGTTGGGTCACAGGTGATCAGCAGGAAGCCCGAAGGCGGAAGAGGGCGAGCGGCCATAGCCGTTAGTGAGGAAGAAGACGATGGCGGCCATAGCCGCCAGTGTGACGAAGTCAGCAGTTAGTGTGTGTGTGTGTGTGTGTGTGTGTGTGTGTGTGTGTTTGCGTAGACATTCAGGGTAGATCCTAGTGCATGTGTACGTGTGTGTGAGTGAGTGTGAGTGGGTCTGATGGTGGATACAGTGTTCGGGTGGGAATCTCAGACTGGCGCTCACGCTCACTCACACACACGTACACATGCACTAGGATCTACCCTGAATGTCTACGCACACACACACACACACACACACACACACACACACCCACACACCCACACACACACTAACTGCTGCCTTCGTCACACTGGTGGCTATGGCTGCCGTCGTCTTCCTCCTCACTAGTGGCTATGGCCACACACCCTCTTCCGCCTTCGGGCTTCCTGCTGACCACCTGTGACCCAACGAACAAGGCACTCAAGCAACACTTTTTCCAGTGTGATATGTGAATAAAAGCCAAGGTGCACAGTGGGTAAGGAACTGTAGGAGTGTGGTCAGTCTTTGAGACCTTGGAGGGGTTACAGGTCACATGGATGTCATCAGTTTTTCATTTCACGTCGGTGAGTTATCATGCTCCGCACAGAGAAAAACACAGCAGAAAATATTGTACTGGGGAACCAGAAAGATCAGAACAAGGGGAAATATGTGGGTGGCAGATGGCAAACCAGCGTCTGGATCTGCTTTGGATGTGATATCTGCACATTTGGATGTCAAGCTTGGAATTTTTTTTCAGAGCTTTTCTGCTAAAAAAGTCAATGTTTGTGCAGGGCCTTGCAGGCAAATGGGACAAAAGGAGAGCAGTCCCATGCCGGATGTTCTGCTTGCATTTCCCTACTCTGAAGGTTGTCTTCTGGTCTTTCTGTTTTCTCATATGTAGTGCTTGTGCAGACTTAAATCATTGCCGAGAAAGCGGTGTTAGAAATTAGACCATCATTCGCCCCGCCACAATCCAAAGGTCACAGCATACGCGATAGCTGTGGGACAGGTCGATCCACCGTACGCAGGGGGTCAGCGAGAGAGAGTGGAATTTTGAATGTGTCAATTTTGGCCATGTTTTATGTTAAATCAGAGGTGTACATTTAATGCTGATATTTTCGGGAAATAATGAGGGGAAAGAAAATCTGGATGGCAAAGGAGTATCATGGGAAAAGTTCACATGTTTTTGCTCTCTACTGCTACCATTAGGCCCAAAAGCTTTTGCCGGCCGTTGGTCCCTGCTGCTATGGGCAGTTCGGTAACTTTGTGAAAAGGGGACTAGTGGTTTAAGCTGTGTAAGAATTGAAAAATGCAAGGTAATGCGAAGTACAGTAGTTGGTTGGAAAAAAGGGAAGTGAGACTCGGCAAGGAACGAGCTGGTGCAGACCAGTCTTGAAACCTCGTCTTGACAGGGAGTTTGCCAGATATCGGGTCCCAATCCGATAGTTTGCCAGGGGAAAATGTTAGGTACTGTGCCTGGAGGCTGACTGTGGCATACTGCGTAGTCACACGGGCCCTGCAGCGCCCGTCCCGGACATTCAGCCTAAAAGCCTAAAACTTAGGGCTTACGGGCCCCGTTTGTTTCAGCCTGAAAGCTGAAAAACGAGGGCCTGCAGGCCCTACCCCGTTTCAGCCTATTTCTGGGTCTTTTCAGACCCAGAGTTTTCAGCCTGAAACGKAGGGCCWTTTWCAGGCCCTCATTGTTTCGAYCTGCCCCTAAGACTCAGGCACGTAAACAGGGATGCGGAACAGGCCAGAAATAGCCTGTTCCTCACGAGTTTGAGCAGGAGCTGCAGCTGCAGCCCCTGCCTCCCTTCGGCAGGCTCAGGAGGCACACCCGGTAGTACATAGGAAGTTCCCATGCACTTCACGGGTAGGTAGTTCAGTAGGCACGAGGTAATCTTCAGGATTCGGCCGCAGCACTCAGGAGGAGCGCTGCAGTAGTCTTCAGCGCTAGGCAGGAGTTAGCGCTAACTGTAGTCTTCGGCGCTGGGCGCCATAGCTGTCTTCGGCGCTGGGCAGGTATTAGCGCTGCAGTAGTCTTCAGCGCTAGGCAGGGAGCGCTGCAGTAGTCTTCAGTGCTAGGCAGGTATTAGCGCTAGCTGTAGTCTTCGGCGCTGGGCGCCATAGCTGTAGCTGTAGTCTTCAGCGCTGGGCGCTGGTAGGTGGTAGATCGTAGAGTGGGAGAGAGACTGGCGGAGGCCAGTGGGACTTACCTGTGGAGCCATCGCTCCAGCTCCATCTTCGTGGTACCTGCATCAAGGCGCCAACTTCACAGGTTAGTACTGGACACAGAGAGAGAGAGAGAGAG